CAGGCAGGGGGTCGGACTTGAAGTTCTACAAGGTCTCTTCCGACCTGACTTCTATGATTCTATGAACCACAACACCCACCAATCCATGAATCATTGTATGAAAGGAAATGAGACATCCCTGTGCCATTGTATAAAAAAAAACTAAGACTTAACTCTACTATTAGGCTTGGCAAAATAAAATAGTGATACTTGGATACTTCAGTTTTTTCCTGAGGTTCCTGAAAGAGGCTTAGACTGACTGTACTGGGTGAGAGTTTATAGCTGCTGCTGTGTCTAACTTTAACCAAGGAAAAGAAACCAAAGAGGGAGGAAGCAGACATGCTACGTTGTGTCGTACTCAGTCATTTGTGATGCAGATGTGGGGAGGACAGGAGTGCTCCGTGACCACAGATGTACGGTCAGACTTCTTAAATTAGCAAAGATGAATAAAGAATTTTCCTTCAAGCAGATTCTGGAAGCATGTGACCTCCTGCGTGCTTCCATCATGCAGTGACTGACAATTGCATTGGTAATACATTTCATTTTTGTTACTATAACACCTAACATCCTAGAGACCTAAAAACAATTACTCATGTGTGGAATTTCCTACCATCCCATTCGCCCCCTCTTCTGCAGAAATGACTTCCAGGCACAGGACAGCTTTGGCCTGAGCCAAAGCAGAGTTGCCAAAAGTGGATAAAGGTAAACAAGAGAGGGAATTGGCACTTTTTCCTTCATAGGCTTCTGTGCTGGGTTTTACAAGCAGCTTTGCACTGCACTGGCTAAGATGAAACAGCAGCAATAAATGCCAGTTTTCAACAGGCTCAGAGAGACTGGGGGATGCCCCAGGTGTTTGCAATCAGGCCACCATTTGACATCTGTAGGCTGGAAGAGGAAGGAACAGTGAAGTAGCAAAGTTTGCCAAGGGCGGAGTGTGTAGAGTTCCTCTTCACGGGGCCCTAATTGTGGTAAATGCCACGGCAGATGGAAAGGACTAGAGAAGTGCATTGAAAAGCAGGTCAAGCCTCTCTCAACTGCCTGCTCCAGTGCTGTCTGTCATGATGGCTCCATGAAAAACAGTCTACTCTGGACTTGCAGGGAACCGCTGCTTTCCTGCAGCTACCTTCCTGGGCTGCAGGCTGGAGGAACAGTGTGGGGTCTCTACGGGCCAGATCCCAGCTGTGTGGGGTGGGGTGGGAGCACATGGCCATGTGGGGTGGGGTGGGGTGGGAGTACATGGCCAGACTAGGCCTGCCGCCCCCACCCCACTCATGCCAGTTTGGACCCACTGTCCCAGCCCCACCTGCAGGCCTGATCCGATACCTAGGGCTTTCTCACCTGGATGCGGAGCTTGGGAATTTGGCGGTGGGGGAACAACAGCAGCATTAATTACCACTGCTCCCCTACTGCCAAATTTCTGGGCCTGCAGGGAGCTCCATGGGCTAGATGACATGGCCGAATGAATCTTAGTAAGAGATTCATTCTCGATCCTGGTGGCGAATGCCTTTTGCTCTTAATCTAACACGCTTCTTACTTATAGTCTGAATGGGTCAAAAGCAGACTTAAAGGGATGGGTGCCCTTGGTTTTTAATCGCCTTGTCCTGGTATTTTGTGCATGTTGAAGAATTAGGCTTCACCTCTCCCCTGTGAGGAGGTATCATACCCACTTTACAGTCAGGAAACTGAGGCACAAGGCGTGAGATGCAGGTAGGGACATCTAGGCTTGTTTTCAGCTTGCTTAGTATGTTAGAGATGTACATGCTCAGGGCAAAGTGTATTGTAAAGCACGTACACAAGGAGGAGAAAATACAGTTGCACAGGCTTAAATCTGACCTGTGCTGGTTCTTGCATGTTTGGACTGCACTTCTTCAGATGCTTTTCCTTCCCCTTTTTAATAAAACCTGGCTCTCATGTCAAATCATAATGGCCTTGGATGTGAATAGCTGTCAGGATTATGATCACATAAGCCACAGCACAGGCCCACACCATCTAAGCAAGCAGCATATGCGGAAGCAGCAGAAGGCAACTGCGTTCTTTGTGGACCCACCACGAGAGGAGGAAGTTGGTTTCACAGGCGCTGCTTGAGGGCAGGAGAAATGGGCCAGCTCCAGGTTGGGGACAGGAGCTTGCTCTTAGGCAGCCCCTTATGCCCCCCACGCTCTTTCTGTCTCCAGTAATTAGTCCCTTGAGTGTCGTGGCATCTGTTGCAAGCCTGGACCATTTTCAAGGAACCTTGGCCCTTCTGCTTTGCCATATTGCCTTCAGAAATATGGCAAAGCAGAAGGGCCTAAACTATAAAATGAACCTTTGCAGAAGGGACAGCCAGCTTGGTCAGCAAAGGAAAGGAAGCCATCAACACATCCAGCTAAACCAGCCATGAGATCCAGTTAAACAGAGCACAAGTCCTGAAAGGAGACGTCATAAGGGAACCATACGTTACATAATCCAAATGACATTTTTTTAGGGGTCCACAAGTGAAAAAAGTTTGAAAACCACTGATACAGGGTATAGGTTGGAAGGAAGTTTGAGGAACTCAACACATTGAAGAAGACCTGCTACGAATCTGCATGCTACCGCTCTCTCCTGGCTTGAGTCTCTTCCCCAGCCGATATAGGTAAGACTCTATGGTGTGCTGTCGCAGGTAACCAGATTAGACGGTGAGATAACTCTTGGTTTTCGTGTTTAGAGAAGTAAGCGATAAAAGGTCGGGCTGCGGACCTGTTTCTTGCCTCTTGTATCAGTAGCCAGCTTGCAAGGTTACCTGCAATTCAGGTCATGCTCTCCAGGCTTTTCCTACATAACCTGGAAACTCCGCAAATGAGTCTCGGGTGGCGTTTAAGCTCTACGTGTGAGTTCTTAAGAAAAATGAAGGCATGCATTTAAAACCCTGGTGCTGCTGCTTCTCTCCCCTAGCATGCAGTGCCTCACTCCTCTGCATGTATTTTCATCCACAGTGATGCTATGTTATGCTGCTTCAGGCTCCATTTCTGCAGGTGATGCACCAGCCAAGCCCCTGGCTGCTAAAGGAAAGAGCAATAGCAGGGAAATCCTTGCTGGCCCTAGTATTCCTGAGCTCAGTGTAAGTAAGAGTCTTTGAAGACATCACCTCCCTGGCTGAGTCTCTGCAGAGCATGTGCAAACTGCAGCCTTGCAGAGGTAGTTAAGCTGATTGAATCATAGGTAGGCTGTTGCAGGGGATGTCCTTAATACCAGGTCAAGCCTGGTCTAGATCTTTGGTCCTGATCACGTACCTCCAAAGCAGAGAAGTGTAGAAATCGGTTGGTCAGGCAGAATTACGGTAACAAGGGTAAAACAGGCTTTATCCTCTTGGTGTCAGCAGCAGCTAAAGCCTTTTGGCTGAGCGTTACCACAACTCCCCTCAGTGTGGGCAGGCACCCAGCACGGGGGACAGCCGCTCCTAAAAGGGCAGTGCCTTGGACTTCCCCTAGTCACTGAGCCACAGTAACTTGGCCAGCAGCACATCTGGGAACATCTGCTCCATGTTCCGTAGCAAGGTGCTGTTTGCAGTTGCTCAGGATCTGAAAACACATTTCTGTTGCTAAGGAGGTTTCCCTGTCGACACGGACCATTAAGCCTGTCCTAAGTGGTAAGGATAACAGAGTGGAACAAGACTTGTACTTCTCCATTAATGATTATCTGCTTAGGAAATGCTTGTGTCTAGGGGGAGGTGGGGTAGAGGTCATAGCAAAACAGCTGCTCCTGGCTCTTAACTCAGTCATGAGTCATATATGTGAGCTGTGAAAAAGCAATGGATGTGTGGCTGCTGGTGCCGATTTGAAAGCAGCCATTTGAGCACTGAAAGCAAGCTGACTGGGTCTTGGAGGTGATGAGTCCCCACTGCAGTTTTGCCACTAACTCTGCTTTACCGTGATTTTTCCCCCTCCCAAACAGCAGTTTCCCTTAACTTGTCACCCCCTCAGATTTCACGAGTTCTGTATCCGAGGCTGGTGCATCGTGGGGAAGAAGCAGACGTGTCCATACTGCAAAGAGAAGGTGGACCTCAAGAGGATGTTCAGCAACCCGTATCCTTTTCTGGACACTTCTTAGATTATTACAGTCTATTCCTTGAAAATAAGCTCTCCAGCAAAGCTAGTCTTGCAATTAACCAGAAGGCTGCTGTGGTTGTGGGAGAACCCCCTCTGTTCCAGTAGCAGCTTTGCCAGTAATGCCATGCAACCAGGCACTAGAGGGTGGGGCTAGGATTCAGAGAGACCTTGACAAATTGGAGGATTGAACCAAAAGAAATCTCATGAGATTCAACAAGGACAAGTGCAAAGTCCTGCACTTAAGATGGAGTAATCCCATGCACCGGTGCAGGCTAGGGACTGACTGACAGCAGCAGCTCTGCCGAAGAGGACCTGGGGGTGATGGAGGACAAGAAGCTGAATATGAGCCAGCAGTGTGCCCTTGGTGCCAAGAAGGCGAACGGCATCCTGGGCTGCATTGGTAGGAGCGGTGCCAGCAGATCAGGGGCAGTGATTTTTCCCATCTGTTTGGCACTGGGGAGGCCACATCTGGAGTCCTGTGTCCAGTTGTGGGCCCCCACTACAGAAAGGAAGTGAACACATTGGAGAGAGCCCAGTGGGGCGCTACGACAATGTTTGAGGGGCTGGGGGACAGGAGTGGTGAGGAGAGGCTGAGGGAGCTGTGCTGATCGAGTCTGCAGAAAAGAAGACTGAGGGGGGATTGAATAGCAGCCTTCAACTCCCTGTAGGGGGTGCAAAGGGGATGGAGCTGGGCTGGTCTCAGTGGGGGCAGATGACAGGAGAAGGAGGAATGGGCTCAAGCTGCAGCAAAGGAAGTTGAGGTTGGATATTAGGAAAAACTTTATCACGGGTAGGTGGTGAAGCATTGGAACAAGTTCCCCAGAGAGGTGGTGGAGTCTCTGCCCTTGGAGGTTTTTAAGACAGTGTTAGACGAAGCCTTGGCTGGGATGATGTAGTTGGGGCTGGTCCTGCTTGGAGTAAGGGGTTGGACTGGATGTGGCCTCCCGAGGTTCCTTCCAGTCCTCATTTTCTGTGATTCTAAGGGCCACTCTCTGCCCTTATTGGAGCACAGGTTTAGCATGAGTCTGAGGGGAATTTAACACTAGGTTTGCCTTAAACCAGTCCCCTCCTCTGTGTTGCCAGCTGGCAGATGTGTAGGATCTTGGCTTCTCTGCTGTAATGACGGATGCTTTGAGGAGCTGTCCCCAGGGGCATCGCAGCCCCGACACTGGGTTGAAAGGGGGCAATGTTTCAGTCATTCCCTCTGCAGAGCGATGCCTCGTTTCCAGTCCCCGGGCTGTGTTCTGCCCTGTGCAGCCCCAAAGGCTGGCTGTGGCTGCCTGCCCAGCACCGCATGGAGGGGTGAGGCTACTCCACTGCGTTGGGATTGCACCATTCAGACCCCTCTTAGGATAAGCCCCATCACCAGTGCCCAGGTGGGCCCCATGCTAGACCCTGACTTAAAAGAGATGCTACCATCCGTCATCCCCCTGCTTTACCTGAGGCAGGTCGGTGTCTTTGGTAGCTGTGCAGTAGGGTTGAGTGGGTATAAGCACTTACATGGGATGATTTGGGTAGAGATGATCCTGCCTCCAACAGGGTTTTGGATTAGATGTAACCCCCGGCAGGTCCTGCCATCCCAGCTGTTCTGTGATTCTCTCTTAGTAGGATCTCTGATGGAGAAGTAGCACGGCGTAGGTCTGTTTTGTCTGATGGCTGCACCAATACCCACGGGCTGTCTCCAGGTCCAGGCGATGCTAATGCCAGTAGCAGGGCTGCTCGTGCAGTTTTGAGCAAGACGAATGCCTTCCCCAAGGCTTTTCTAGGGCAGCCCTGTTTTGTCTCCGCTTCCCTTGTGCTTTGCCTCTTTAACTCCTCTCCACATCCAGCTGGGAACGGCCACACGTCATGTACGGACAGCTGCTTGACTGGCTGCGCTACCTCGTGGCCTGGCAGCCTGTTATAATCGGACTGGTACAAGGCATTAATTACATCCTGGGTCTGGAATAATCTGTGTGGCCGGGGAGCCGCAGAGCTGCTTCAAGGAGGACCCGCGTCAAGGGCAGAGGACAACAGCTGGCCGGGAAGACTTAAAAGTTTTTATCACTCACCTCTCAGGATCTCGGCCATCCATGCAACACTTCTCCAGGGGCTGCCCAAAGACTGGGCCGGGCAGCTCCCAGCACGGCGAATTTCTGCCGGGGCTGGAGCGGGCAATTATTTTTTAAAGCGATTATTTTAATGCGCATATTTAAAACTTTATATTGCAGATTCAAGAGGGTTTTCTTTTTCCCTCCCCGCCCTTTATTGTCTTATTCCTCTAGAATGAAGAAAGGCACAGCGTGTTAGGAAGCTAGCAGGGTCTGCTCACAGAAACTTGGCACAGCTTGCTAGGTCTTCTTGCATAGTCAGGCTCATCCCCATCCTTTGTTGTCTGCTTAATTTTGTTCTTCCTCCCTCTTGCCAGCAGCTCCGCTATCAGCAGGCAGACGGCTCCTACAGCCTCGTTCGCTGCAAGACTCAACTAGATTCCCACCTGATCAGCAGTAGGGTGAATGCCACTACCAGGAGCAACCAGGCCTGCAGTGAACTAGGCCTGGAGTTGCACATCTGCACTTGGGAGACCTGGGGCTTGCATTGCAGGCACTGCACCTATGTGCATAACACCCCAGGAGTCCAGCACTGCTGCGAGGGGCAGATGCTGACGGGGAACCCGCAGATGGAGGCTCATTGCGGAAGTGTAGTAGCACAGTGTGGCAGACTACATCAGCGGGAGGGCAGCATCAAAGTCCTGCATCGTGCTTTCATTGGAAAGGAGGGAGACCACAGCCAAGGGGCCTCAGTTGCCTTCAGTGAAAACCATTAAGGAATAGATTAACTCCTAACAGTTCCCCTCTCAGTGAGCCATACAAAGGAAATAAATCCAGTGACCCAACTGAGACCAGGAACTCAGTCTGGCTCAGAAGAAAGCAACAATTTTTTTTCTGGCTTCATAGTTTTGTGCCGTGCTTTATTTTCTCCATGCTGGTGAGACCACAGTGTAGGCCCCATTTTCCCCCTCGTGCGCCCACATGTCTCTTTCTCTCCGCAGCAGTGAGCTGCAACTTGGCATTTCCCAACAGCAGAGGAAGCGGCAGGCATCAGGTTGCTCCCCACTTTGTCTTTTTGAGGGCTCTCGGGGTAAAAAAGCCACTTCTGCCTGGTGCATGGAGGTCTAAGCCACCTACCAAAGCAAGCTCCAGGGACTTGTGCATCTTTGTGGGAGCAGGCAGGACCTGGCCCATTTGTGTATCGTGGGATGTGCGAGGTTGGAAAAGGGAGCAATGTGCTTTGTACACTTAAGTCTGGCTTATGGGTCACACATCATAGGCTTCCTCTGTGAGTTATCCCACATTAGTCCATAGGTCTCTGTGGAGGAAAGTCACCAATCATCCCGAGCGAGGGTCTGACCGACGCAGTTCAAAGGGACGCTTCCCATTATGTTGGTAACAGCCATCAAAGCAACAGTGTCTTGGTCACTGGAGATCAATCTTTGTGCACAGCTGCCGTGGGGAAAGCTCGACTGTAGTTTGCCCTAGGGTGGCCTACAGGGAAGGAGAGAGTCCAAGCAGACCAAAGAGGGATCTTCCCAGCAAGCGGAGCTGTTGTGGCTGGCTTTCTTGCCTCTGATGTCAACGGGCTTTAAAGGACTCCATCGGCCACCAAATTTGATGTCACCTGAACACTAAGCTAAACTGTGCCTCCCTCTCTGTGGTCATCTCCAGCTTCCACAGAGTATGTATTAAGGGATGTGGTCATGGCCTTTCCACCTGTGTGTGAGCACTAGGATCAAAGTGGATCCCCAGAATTTGTGTGCTGGTTGATGCAGGAAACTTTCCTATGTAGGAGCCCACTTAGTTAAATGGGGTCAGAGCTGTGGGAAGATCCCTGGAGCAGAAGCTTCATTACTTGGATAGGCAAAGATGGCACCCATTGGAGCAGGGAGCTAGGCAGCCAGTCGTGTCCCCGCAGCCCATCACTGAAGATGGCGGCACGTTGCAGTAGTCCTGTACAGTCCAGTGAAAGGATCAGTACCCACAAGCTTGTCTTTCAGGATACATGGGGAGCTTTTCCTTTCCGCCATGAATAGCGCTCAGTATTCTAGGTCTAGATTTGTTTCCAGACAGTATGTTGATTTATCAACGTGTCTTTGCTACGTGGGACCTACACAATGATGGTCAGTCCCACAGGGCTGCATGTGGCAGTCCATGCTGAAGTCTCTGGCCCAGTGATAGCAGCAAGAAAGGGTTGCAAGAATTGGGAGAGAAGGTTGCACTGGAACCAGTGGCGCTTCTTCCTGTCCACTGTAGTGTTGGCTCTACGTTGCTATGGGGACTGCACGCTGTCAGCGTGGCAGCACATTTCACTTACTGAGCGTGCACAACACATCTCGATGGGACGAGCGCTTCCAGCAAGGTCTGTTCCAAGAAGTTCAGTTGTGGTTAAAAAGAAAGCAGTCCTTCCTCATCTCCATCCGTTTAAAGGTCTTCCTGCTGCCTGTGTGGGTGATGGCCAGTCGTTTTTAGAGGTTTGCTTTCTAAGAAATGACAGTTGTGGAAGTGTAAAATCATGTCTCAATTTGTCCCTAAATTGTGGGTCTTCCCCTTAGCACAATGAAGCAGCAAAAATGCATGGTGGGCTGACTGGGTCTTTTCAAATCTGTGGCTTTAAGAGACTGGAAAGAAGGGAATTCAGGGACGCACCAAAGCAGATTTCCCTCTGAACAAAAGCCATGTTTCCCCCCTAGCCTCTTAGCGAGCACTTTGAAGTAACAGTGACTGTATCTCGTTTGCTCTGGAGAGCAAGACAGACTTGACTGTAATAACAATCTCCGTTGAATCAAAGGTGTTTTTTTTTTAATTATTATTATTAAAAGTGAAATCACAACGCTGGAAACTTCTGTGCCAAACCGAAATAGAGTCCTTGAATGCGAGATGTGCTTTGCATTTGTCTCTGTTCCAGCTTCCCGTGGCGATGTCTGTTGGCTCTGGGGGTACTAAGACTTGAATGGATGAGTGGCACGGTGGGGTGTGACCACAACTTGTGCCCACGTAGTGCATGCTGGTACTAATCCAGTAGCAGTCCTGGCAGCTAACTGTCTCCCCTACCACTGGCTTCAGCCATTCCTTGCATCGTCTCTATCCAAATCACTTGTGTTGTGGTCTCATCTAAGCAGGTCACCTAACAGCATTCATCCACCTGGGCTCCCTGTCCTTCCCCATCTCCCCTGTGGTGTCCTGCTGCTACCACTCAGGATATCTCTGTCACCCTAGCAAAGCCCTCGATAGCTCCCTCTGTCTCTGTCCGTCCCCCTCCCCACAATTTAGGCAGATGCAAACATGTCTGAGCAGCCTGGTCCACGTGGAGATCAAGTAGCAGCAAGGGATGTTGAGGGTGGATGTTAGGAAAAGCTTGCTCACAAGAAGGGTGGTGAAGCACTGGAGCAGGCTCCCCAGAGAGGTGGTGGCATCTCCATCCTTGGAAGTGTTTAAGCCCCAGGGACACAAAGCCCTGACTGGGATGATGCAGTTGGGGCTGGTCCTTCTTGGAACTGGGGGTTGGACTAGATGTGACCTCCCAAGGTCCCTTCCAACCCTCCTGTGCTATGGCTGAGGTCCAAGCACAGGTGAACCTGCAGAAAAATGCTCTCCAACCACCCCTTGTCCATTATAAACATGTTGCGATCCCATTACAAAAGCCCCAGTCCTGCTTCTCTTGCAGACAGGACCGAAAGCAAGCCGCATTGGTTCACACAAGCTGTGACGTGGGAACGGAGGTGGCATCGGTGTGTGGCGGTGTGACCATAGCGGAATGAATGTCGGCTTGCCAAGAGCAAGAATCTGTCCCTGGCCTTTGAAAGCAAAGGATGTCTCTGTGCCCAGGAGATGGGGCCTGCTTGCTTCACCCCTTCACCAGCTCCCAGTGGAAACTGCAGCAGAGCAGTGCAAGACTTCATGAGGATGGGAAACACCCAGACAGGACCCTGGCCTGGCGTGGCTGTTGCAGGCCACGCTGCAGCCCCCTTGGGCCATGCGTTTGGAGGCCAGGCTGCTGCCATCTGGCACTGGGGACTTCCACAGGCACCACGTCTGCTTCCACAAGGAAGCTGCTAGCAGAAATGCTGGCTCCGACAGAAGGAGCTGGCAGCTTGGAGGAGAAACGGTCAGTACCTCTAGCAAGCCATTTGGGTTGGAAAGAGGAAGGTGAATGCCCCAGAGGGAAGACAGCAACCCGCTGCTTAAAAGCCAGCCTGGTCTACTGGGGTTCGAGACTGGCTCCTTTTGATCCGCAGCCTTGCTGACGTCTCGGCTCCTGCCGCGGGTTCCTGACCTCTGCTATAGGACTAAAGAGCTCTGAGATCTCGGCTGCAAGGCAGCCCATCCTCATGCTCTCCCTGGAGCATCCCCTCCTTCCCCTAGCACGTCATCAGTCTTTGGCCAGAGCGGCTCCCTGCCACCGGAGAAGGAAGCTATCCTCAGGGCTGTGTAAGTGTCCGAGGCTGCACTGCGAGCAGGGCTCTGACTCATCCCAGTCCCCGGTCTTCCTGCGAACTTCAATGGAAACTTCTGAGCGCGTCCTCTCCTTTGTCTTCCTCGCCCCTGTAGATGAAGCGTGCCGAACCCACCAGACAAGATGACCAGACCAGGGTCGGGAATGGGAAGCCCAAGATTTGGCTCTGTTCAGGCTCTTGCACCCATTTTGCACTGGAGGTGCATTGAGGATACAGGGTCATCATCTCCCTTTTCTTTCTAGTGGAAAATGAATGAGGTGTGTAGGTTTTAATGTCTTGAGGCTGGGTGAGGGTGTGGCTGGAGACATGGCTGAAGAAGCCTGGGACGGGGTGAGCTTGGCAGTGTCAGGATTGGTTTCATCACCAGGCAAAGCTCCTCATGTTGGACCCCCCCCACACTCCTCCCACCATGCCTGACCGAAGGGCTAGCAGCTCTTTTCCCCATTCTTGCAGCCTGACTCCGTCTCTTGGATGTGCTGGACCAAGACAGTGAGGACTAAGACCTCGAGCTGGAGTCCGTGGTACAGAAACCCGGTGTCAAGGCAGGTCACAGGGCACCGGTGGTGCCAGCTGCAGTGTCCTCGGGCGGGTGACCCCGCACCCAGGCAGCTTGCAGGGCTCCAGTCCCCAGTGGAGCCGACCCCATCGCCTGTCCCCAGAGTCGAGTAATCCTCTGCCCACTCTGCCATGGGTGGTGAGGAGCTCAGACGCTGCCCACAGTACGGCCTAATCTTCCCCGAGCTCTTCTAATGCAGAGCCTAAGTGAAGAGCTGGCAGTGCCGAAGCAGAGAGGGGCGAGCACCAGGACCGTAGAGACAGGGCACCACAGCATGATGAGCAGAGGTCTCTTTGCACCACCAGACCCACCTCAAGGCTATCTTTTGGCTCCAGGCCTCTTCCTGGCCCTGAACTGGCCCCTTTTTTTTTTCCCCCACTCCCTGCAATGAACAGCCACTGCTGAAGCGCCACGGCTGGGACAAGCCAGAGGCCCCGCAGCTTAGCGAAGGCAGGAAACCAAAGCACCGGCTGGGAGACCCCGCAAAGGCTCCAGCATAGCAGAGCCCTGGCGGGGGACAAGCTGTGCCCAGCTCGCCACCCCATCACCACAACAGGTGGTTGCAAGCCACTGAAGTCACGAGCAAACCTGCAGCTTCTCGTCGCCCACAGATATAGAAGTCCTCTTGACGAGCGCTGTGACAAATACGAAAGCAGAAAAGGAAATGAACTGCGGCAGCCCGCAGATGAGGAACGCACAAGCGCAGCACAGCTGAGCACTCTAACCTCAGCACGTCACCGGCAGCCCCAGGCTTTTTCCATGACGCTGGTGCCAGGCAGGCCTGACTGCTCCCGGGCCGGGTGCCTGGCTGCTGCGAGGACTCTGGAGAAGGGGATGGAGCTGGGGCCTTTTGGGAAACAAAACCTCGCAGCTGGGAGGAGCACAACTATCTGCAGCCTGCAAAAAGCAGGGCCCAGGGGCCCTCAATGCCAAAGGGTGGGAGGGGAGACCGTGCCCATGAGCCAGGTGCAGGGCTAGCCTTGGTGAAGCACTGAATTTCCCTGCACCAAGTCAATGCTATCAGCGCCCCGGGGGCATTCAGTAGGCCTGTGTGAATAGGCAACTGTCAGATTCAGATTCAGCCGATTTCAAGTCGGAGATTTGATTGCTTTTCCGATTTGATTCGCCCAAATCAATTCAGAGCCGATTCAGAGATTCGGCCATAGGGTATAATGGGGAATCAATGAAATATCTATAACTTTGGTTTTTTGGTAGATTCAGATGAAACTTGCAGGTGTGGTAGCCTCTGAGGGCATGTAGCCCACCAAGTTTCAAGACGATAGGTGCAGGGGTTTCTGGGAAACTGCACCTCAAACTGCTGACACGCAAAACTCACAACAGCGGTGGCACTGTGTGTGTGTTAAGGCACAGGGGTGACAACTGGAGGCCAGCTAGGGCCTGCTGCAGCCACACAGCCTGCCAGCTGTCAAGGAGATAGGTGCAGGGAGAGTCTGGGTTTTGGGGCCCTGCACCTCTGGCCGCAGGAAGGTGTGCGCGCGTGTGTGGGGGGGGGGGG